GTATCTCTACAACTGCTCACCGGATTTTGCGGAAAAATGACATAAATAAAGTACATAGTCTAAAAGAACACATAAGTCACTATTTTTTAATTTCTCGACATACTCGCTATATTTTTTTAAACGAATAGTTTGCAGGCTGTGGCATATATGAATTTGCGTACTTTTAATCTTTGTACAGGAAGTTTAAGGGACTACTCACTTCCGCTGTAAGTCGCAATGTAGCAGAGCTTACCTACATTGTTTAGTGCCGTTCATTGAGAGTACATTGTAATCATTGGTCTACAATTGAATCGAGTGACGTAACAAGGTAAACATTATTGTATGATTGTATGATCTTCCCTTTAGTAGCTACAAATTGTATCATCGCAGAATCTATGTAGCTGGTTATAGACAATATTAGATGTAATCTGATGGCTGTATTTGTATTTGAAATGTCAATATACTAAGGATTTATCCTGTACTTTGTGAGATTTTTCTTGAGCAGAGTAACTTTCTTTTTCCTGTAATGACAAAAACACTTTGACGGATCTTGAAGAGTGAAGCCTCATTTTGTTTGTACTCACCGGAGTGTCGTCTGTGTTTTTTTTAAAGAATTCTATATGATGGTTAGCTACTATCTCAAGGTACTTATAATAAAAACCTGCGCACTTGTTTGGTTCATGAATAAGGATGCATTGGATATCAAACATATGACGTTTGTGTTTGCTCTTGTGACTCAATTATTTTATTTTCATATATTCCACTTAGTCACGTGCTAAATTGTTTTCGTTGACGTTGTTTACTTACGGGCCTTATTTAAGGTCTTAGTTCTCATTACGATGGTGATTATAGAGGTCAATTTGATGATAATAAAATTCACAAAGCGTTGTAATTGATATAATTTCATTGACATTCTAATCGGCGAGATATTGTTACTATTCAATCGCACAATTATAATGGTTAATTCAGAAGTTTTGTACATATTTTTTCCAGGAATATGAAAGTACATTAAGTGATAAATGAAATTACTAAATGAAAAAGGTCTAGAAGACTTTGGAAGAATATGTTAGTTACAAAAAACTTTTTTTTAGGCTCACAAAATAGTAATTTACGTTGAATTTACGATGATCAGATTTAAACATTTTTGTGTATAAAATTTGTAATTAAATCTATACTAATATAATAAAGCGTAAACACACATTACTTTGTGGCGTAAGATATCAGCAATCGAATATTTTTGAACAATTCTTTCTTTAATAAAAAGCCCTACACTTACAACACGCTTTAGGCTATATATTTTCACGCTATTAAACTTAGGGGTATATAAATTGGATAAAAACCTTAGTGTGGGAAAGAGTCCATAAACTACAAGCTGCCAACATCAAGGAAGTAAGATTGCCATGGTTTGTTATCATGACATGTTAATTTGACATTTTTAATTGATAACAAAGTATTCATAATTTCATGCGTAGGAAACCGCACGGGAACAGCTAGTATAGGATAGTTTTCAAATAGAAAACTATAATCACCTAATACCACAACGGGTGACTATTTCTAGAGTAACAATAGCTTTATGAAAAACGGTTTCTGAAGCTTCAGCATGAATTCACGTTCACTGAGCTTTTGTCATCAAAGAGCTCGCTCTGCAGTAGTTCACACTGCAGCGACCTCTGTCGTATGTACGTTGACCTTTTTAATCCCGCTAAAGAGTTTTCGAGCGCCCCTTCACTAATACTCTTCAAAATTGCCATCATAATGTAATCAGCTTAAAAGCACGGTGTTGCATGACCCGGTAGCGCGGAATATTCATTTTACGCCGAGGTTAATTTACCAATTAGCGGAGGTTTTTATATTGTCTTTTTTTCTACATTCTTTAAAAGTGTTTTGTTTTATTTGACATCATTTTTCCGAAATATAAACAAACACAGCAATGACAAATGTCATGACTTAGTAACGATATATATGCGAAAGTTAAGATGGATGGATGTTTGTTAAAGTTTGTAGCCTAAATTGCTGAACGGATCTCGATAACATTTGGCATAGATGTAGGGATGGTCTGTAAGAGCACTAAGGCTACTTCTTTTTTTATTTTACATAAACTTAATCGGGAGCGAAAATTAGTAAATAAATAAATTATTTGTTATATCTTTCACAGTAAGGTTTAAAGATCATAGAGAAGACTGCTCGAGAATTTTCGGATGTGCCGTAAAATATATTTACTCTTTATTCCCATTGATCTAGGCACTCGGCGCTAAGTGATAGGTTCGAAGGCTTGATGAGGGCTCTCGAAGTGATCCATTTTCAACGCATTGTTCTTGCTCATCGTATCCCGTTTTGCACACATACGACTTAATACGATATCGATATTTAAACCGATTACAAATCGGAGCAGACTTTTTTTTTAATTATTCTGTTTTTTACGCTGCTACACTTATTTGTAAAAGAACGACGTTAATATTTGTTCTTATTCTCCCTAATTATATTTTGTCTTGACGCAAAATAGTATATAAGTAATCTTGTACTTTTAGTTTTTAGATGTAGGGCTCATTTTCATTTTTAACTACCAGCGAGTGGGAAATTATTAAATACAAACTCGAAAACGAGTACACCTCATTAAAATTACCATCAAATGAATAGATGCAGAAATATTATATTTTTTATAGAATGTTATGCTTCCATAACTATTTCAATGTACCTTTCGCAGTTCTATTTAACTGAACTTGCTTTGATAATGATAATGCAAATTATTATTATGTACTATTGTCAGTTTTATTTAAAGTTACTTAATAAATCTTGTGTTGTCTGTTGGGATTATTGGTCTGTATTGATGTTATTCTTGCACCCATAACTTTAATATAAAATATCCAGAAAAAATATGACACTACAATTTTGTATTCTGAGAATGCGAAATGCATTTCTCGGTTGATGTACACACATGAATTCCAAACGAAAATAGAGACCAATATTAATGACATTGTATTGCTGCCAAAATTGTTGGGATAGCGTTGTGGGCATTGACGTTCTTTTAAATTTAACGGTTTACAATTCACCGGTTGACGCGGAGAGAACCATTCTCAGATAGCACGTGTCGGTACCAACAAGTATATCTATTTGTACGTATTGCGCTTGCACAGTTGATGTCATGTTTAAATACGAGTACTGGGAGACCGGTTATGAGAACGTCACTAAAGTATACTGCAGTCGGATATAGTTAATTGTAAATTGTTCGGATTCGTGTAACCTTAAAACGGAGTTATATGTTAACCATAAGAAATTGTGAAATCCCACACAATTTTATTAGTTTTGTTATAACAATTAATTTAAGTAATATTTTAATGCTTTAAATATTACTACCAATAACAAAGCTATGGTCCATTAATTTTAAAGTGCTAAAAGTGTTCGACATCGTAAAAACAACAAAGTTTTTAACGATCAATTTAAATTAGGTTACCTTCAAACGTAGTATTCGTTTCGCTACTTTGTTAAATGTCAGTACCAATGTTACTTTGTACCATAATGGCGACAAATTCGGTTTTGCACATTTGTATTCTACTATTTACAGTTGTATTCCGCAATCTAATCAATGGTGGAAATGGTATTGTGCGAGTATCCGAACGCAGCCATAAAGCGGTTTACTGTTCCATTGTCAGGTGACATTGCCTCAGCTCGCGAACATCGTTCCCGCCAATTGTCAGCCATTGTTGATGCGAAATGGCCCCAGCCCACATGCCGGTTGGGTAATACCACCTTATCTATAATGGAATCAATGAATGTGTGACTCTGATTTAGTAATAACATTTATTTTTGAGGCTAGTTGAATATTAACTCCTTTCGTGACAAAATTTTTGTAGTAGAAGCTGGCAACTTAAATGTTAATTGACTATATTAATGAAAATAAAACACTAAAAAATTGTTATAAAGACTCTGTAGGGAGCGTCAATCAGAACAAGATGTAACGAGAGGTCGCAAAGAGCAAAATATGTACTGGCAGCAACCCACAGCTTACGCAGACTAAACAGGATATGTTAAAATTACATTGATAAAGCGAAACGTTGATATGAACTTAGTCAAATTTAAAACAATTCATAAACTATGAATAAATGTAGTATCGAGTAAACGCAGGTTTCCACCTAAATAAAAAGATATCTTAAGTTGATGTAACTTCATCAAATAGGTCGATCTAACCACTTGACGATGTACCCGTATTAAAATTTGTTGAACCATTGATTTTGTTCTCGCGTGCGTGTCTCTTACGGTGCTATTAATGTGGTTTTCGCTCGATAGAACTTTGTCCCGTTGATTCGATGATTATTGTCTTTTTCCTATCACAGTTCTATCAAACTTATTTTTACTTCTTCGTGCTATGTTTGATTTACTACGTTGATAATAGTTTAGACAGATATGTGTACGGAGGACTTTATAACACTGATTCTTAATTAACCTTTATTATGAAGTAAAAATAGTTGGGAGAAAAGATATGCGTTTGGAATTGGTGCTGTGTTTTGATTGTTTTTGTTTGTAAAATGTCTATAAGACCGGCTTTTGTGTTGAATTCTTATGACGTATTTTTTTTATTTTAATGTGTCAGACAGAATTATCCAAATAAAAATAGAAAAATTAAAACCTAGAACGATTTGTTATAAGTTTTATTGCTACAATTTTACGACCTAGTTGTAAAGATTACCTAATATACCTCATAATACAGCAATTTACCCATTAGGGAATTTGTTATGTGCCATTTAAAATATATTGCTCACACGAATTAATTTGTTGATGCATTTTCCTACTAAAATTGTAACACACGTGTGTTATGTTATGAGTGGGTATATACACACCTAAAGGTGCCTATGAAACGAATTACTAAAAAGTAAATTTTAAAAAGTTGTTTAAGAAATTGTACAATTAAAATTGTTAACGATTTTCACAGTCGAGGAAATCAAAGATTAACAAATTATGTTTCTTGTATATGTTACGTGCTAATGACGATTACTACATAGTATGTTTTTCTGTATTGTCGACAGCCGAACGCAGGAGCAGACAATCAGGTAGCACTAATTCGCACGCCGATGACGTGGCTTGTGTTGCGTTGTGCCTTGTGTTGTGTTGACACAGATGCATGCTAGATAAATGAAAACTTTGTATCGTTGATTGTTCATTTTTTAAATGAAAATTTTATCGTTGGATACGATAGTAATTTTTTGGTTTATACTTCTTTTTGGCAAATGCATGTTTTGTGATGTTTTGGGCTTCTTCGTTTCAGAATTTAACGTTTAATGTAACGCTCATCGCTTTTGTTTTGTTTATGTATGGTTTTTACTTTTGAATAGGGCATTTTTTGTCCTTATTATTTGTAGTAAGAAAATAATTGGTATTTTATGCATGATTGGTGTTCTTTAATGTTGTTAATTTTTTTTATGTTTGCACTGAATGTAAATGCAATTATGTTTTTGTTACAAGAGGGGTAATGGTTCAATACTGTTTTCATAGTAGTTTGTAATATACGTTTTGTAATTGCATTAACAGTTTGTTAATTTCTCAATAGCCATAAAACCGAATCTTTTAGAGTCATCAACAAAGTCCTTGCTGAACATTGCAATTGAAATATAGTTTTCATATAAATGTATTTATAGGTAAATTCCAAACTTGTTACATATTCTATTATAAGGATTTTTCCATCAAATTTAATTACGATAATCGGTTGAGTACGATTATTTGTTTAAAATTATAATTAGTCCACTTTGCTGTATATTAAACCATTTGTAACCAACAGTTGTTCGCGCCGACCGCAAGCCTGCACAATGCGCGCGCGCCGCCCGACGCAGTGTTCCCGGAGCCAGTTAACAACAACATCAGCGAGGACAATAATAATGGACCGATCTCACTGCGCGAGATGCAGAATATCGCCAACAATAATGCGGCAGCGTACATCGTCAGTGAGAATGAGGAGCGTAACAGGATAAGTCGGGAATCAGTCGTCGAGTTTGAACCGCTGCCCGCAGACTTGAGAGTGATAGATCCTTTAGAAAGATGCGCTGATTGGTTTGGTTAGTACTATAATTATCCTTTAAGTTAAAGTTGCTTTAAAACTGGTAAATTCATAAAGTAGATTGTTCCTCGATTGGTTAAGTACCATGAAGTTAAAGTATATCCACGTATAAACACAACAAAACATATGCAATAAGTCTTTAGAATGTTTCTTAACTTAGTTTTACTGGACTGGTCTCTTTCATCACTTAACTGCATCTTTCTTTAAAAGTATAGTGAAACACGACAGCGATAAAACAGCCTAATAAAGCAACGGTTTCTGTACAGAATAACTTTATTGCAAGTTACAGTGTAGTTGTCGTCAGTTGAAAACGATTGTGTTACGGTACTCTGATGCATTTCCTATTACGTCTTACATATTTATAGACAACTTATTGTGTATTCAATAGAGTCGAATTCAATATGTAGTTACGCTACCTCGGCCGCATGGTTCAAGGGTCATCCGTAATGTTTCCGGGTCTTCGATTCGGATTCTTGTTACTTTGAGTCATAAAAATTGAAAAAAAGTATCGTTTTAATTCGGAAATAATGGAAATTTAAAGAACCTTTTGCTAACTTTTACTTACTACGACAGTAACTCCTACCTTTTGTTTGCAGGTGGTGAAGATTTGTCCAGGAATCGGCTACAGTATTTACGAGAAATTGGTAGAGGATGGTTTGGCAGGGTATGTTGAAATTATTTATTTTCCGAAATAGAGTTATCTTATTTTAGTGTGAAGGGGTACACAGTAAAGGTGACACGATCAAGAAGAGAGTGACGACACATGACCGAATATGAAGGACAAAAACCTGGTGCTAGAGTAATTGAGGAACAAGGAGATGATGATGATTTTATTTCCAGGTGGTTGAGGGTGAATTGGACAACACGGGTACTTCAGTAGCAGTCAAGATTCTAAACCAGAATGCAAGTTTAGAAGATAAGGCAAGGTTCTTAGATGAGGCGAGGATATACCGAGACTCGAGGCATGAGAACATACTGGCGTTTGTTGCCAAATGCCTGGAGGAAGATCCCTGGATATTGCTGTTTGAACTTTGCTCTGTGGTACGAATCTATTTCTTTGACTCAAATGACCCTTATTTCCCTAATGTTAGTAATTATTTTGAATTGTAAAGTGACATTCAGGTTTATTGGTTAGCATAGCATGTTGACAAAGTTACTTTTCTTTCAAATTTTCAATGTGTGTGTAACAGTGGTAGTGCCCGCTTTAACATCTTAGCACTGCAGAGCCGGCACGCCCGGTGTAATACCACGACCACACAGAAGACAGGCGTGAAATGGAAGCAATTTCGTGTTTCGTCTGATGAATGTGGTGCCGGAGGCCTAATTTAAGTCCCTTTCTCTTCACCACCCTTTTCTTATAAGGAGAGGTTGGGAAGGGGAAGTGGATTTCACGGTGGAGGAGATGTATAGGAAGGGGAAATATTCTCTTTATATGCGTCTCCTCCTCCGTCGTATAAGGGTAGGCAACGCATCTGCAATTACGGATGTCTATGGGCAGCGGTCGCTTCGCCATTTTGTCGGTTTCAGGTGGCCGCTTGCTCGTTTGCCACCTTATGTTATAAAAAAAAATGTTCATTTTATGTAGAAAATAAATTGAATTTGCCAGTATTAAAGGTCTACTCACAGTATAATAACTTGAGTTGTAGACCCGTACATTGATATGACTGATTGTGCATGGAATACATAATAAGTACATGTTTATCAATGAAACTGCTTTTGAATCAAATACCGAACGTTTTTTTATTATATTCATTGTGCGTGAAGTTTATCAATGGTGTTTTATGAATAAAAACTTGTTTGATGCTAATTTTGCGTAGGTTCTTTTTAACCTAGTACAATGTTATTATCTTTTTTGTTAGGTGTTATCTTCTTTTAATATAACTCCGTAACAATCACATACAATTAAAAAAATCAAAGGTGACAGTTGTCCGGGCATAGAGTATAAACATTTGCCAAAG